TTACGAGGTTGGTCCCAGGGACTGAGCCCGGGTTTAAAGAGTTAAGACTTCATGTGCATTGTTAATTTCCTGTTGGTTAAGCTTAACATTTAAGTTTGGGTTGCAATTAAAAGGTTTTAAAATTTTACTATCTCAGTTTCATGGATTCAATGCTTACAAGTAAACTTAGAATGAAAATCTCACCAATACCTCTTTAATAAAAGACTTATTTGAAAATTAAAAAAGCATAGAAGTTCCTTCTTATTTTCCAACATTGCACAGAGTCTTAAAACATAATAGTTAGGTGGTTTACTAAATGATTTTACAAAACATAGATGCATAGCAGATATTCAGTGAATAAAAGAACATTACGCTACATTATTTCAATACTTTCTCAAGTGTTCTATTTATGTCTCAAGAAACGTTTAAGTGTATTTCAAAATTATAGTTAGACACATTTACAGTGCACATATAATCAAAAATGTTTAAAAAGGACTATATACCTTATATTGAAAAATGCAAGTTATTAGAAGTGTACTCCAATTCTTATAAAGTCATCACAACAGCACTTTTAATACAAATCTGCATTCAAATCAAATAAGAACATTAAGTCACAGTCAATATTCATAGACCCATTCTTTTAAGATGTCACTGCTTAATTCATGTAGTATTTATTGGTTGCCGAACAAAATGAATCTTAATGAATCATAATGTTCTCATTACTCAGGCAGCCAAAATCCCATTTTTCACAAAAACAGACATGGACACTGCTGTAAAAGGTTGTGGCATATAAAAGTAATCTCTGGTAATCTCTAATAAACCAAAATAAATTTTAATTGTGTTATCATTTTTTTGTAAGTATGATTTTATAAAATCCTTTAATGGAGACAAACGTTATTTAATGAAGATGGATCTATGCAAACAACTGGATCAAAGGCCAACCTTATTAAGGCAGTCCAAGAAGAAACAGGAATTATAAATTGTGAGGTTCTACCTTGTGGAGATGGAAAAATTGTGGTTGTTGTTGATGCTATGTACATGATTTGCCATCTGTCATTAGCAAAGGATGAAAAATTTCAAATAATTGCAGACCATTTCACACAAACTCTTTTCAGTGATGTGCCAAATGGTACAAGCATAATTCACTTCTGTTGTGATTGTTACAAGACTCCAAGCATCAAAACAGGTGAGAGACAGCAAAGGGTTGAAGAATCTAGACCATTAAAAGTGTATGAAGTGGCTGATCAGTACAAAGCTCTTGATCCAACCGATTTCTTTGCAAATCCTGCCAACAAAGCATGACTGCTCGACTATCTGCATAACATGTGGAGCACAGATGAAATAATCTGAGCTCCACACATCTCTACTTAGGTGGAGGATTTGAAGATGAAAACAAATCTGACAGGGGGTATTGTAACTTCTGTTGCAGAGTTAGAATTAACTCAAGAAGATAATGCTTAGAGACGGCTTGTATGGGTAATGAAAAAAAAAACTTTAATATAAGTTTAACATAACAGCAAATGTACAACATTCTTGCCAATATATTCATGACCCAGCTCGAAACACAAGCTATACATTCTGCACTTCATCCCACACTATACTGATACAGATATGTCAATGACACTTTTGCTGGTTTTGCTTCTACAGAACACATACTAACTTTATTTGAACACATAAACTTCATTCATCCCAACATCAAATTTACCATAGAACATGAAAACAATAAACAGTTATCTTTTCTTAACCTCAACATTATTAGATCGGACATACAGTTTAAAACCAAAATTCACCATTAGAACACACACACTGGTCTCTACATCCCCTGGAATTCCGCTTATGACACCACACAAAAAATCAATACACTGAAAAACCTCATATACACAGCCACAATACTCTGTTCAATGGACTACATAGATGAAGAAATCAACCACATACAGCATTCCCTCATTCACACCAACAAATTTCCACCAGTTATTGTTGAAATACTCTCCAACATTCACCACAACAAAACTCAACTCATGAACAAAATTGATACTAACAATCCCAACAACAGAACATTACAATGCAGTTTACCTTTTGTCCCTGAAACCAGCTCAAGAATAATCCACACTCAAACAAAACTAGCCATTAAACAAAAACTTCCTGTCAACGTCAAATTCTCTCAAAAACCCAGCCCTAAATGAAAATCATTACAAAATAAAAATTATTTAGAATTACACAATACCAACGTCATTTACAAAATAACATGCAATAACTGCCCAGAATCTTACATCGGAGAAACAGGAAGAAAATTGGAAACCAGATTCACAGAACACAATAAAATAAACCATCTCATGTTTTCCACCATTGCAACCCAAAAAAACCATAGTATATCTATTAAAACCACAGTAATTTTAAACAAAGAACCAAACATAAACAAACGAAAAATCAAGGAATCCATCTTAACTGAACAAAACAACCCTACTCTAAACCAACACCCTGGGGTGCCAAGATATCTCTTCTAAGTTGTGCAACAATATCCAGTCATGTGACCTCTTTGTTCCATACTGTATATATATATATATCTGTGTCAGTGTAAACTTCTTGCACCTGATGATGACAAAATCTTGTTGAAACATTGTACATTTGCTGTTATGTTAAACTTATATTAAAGTTTTTCTTCATTACCCATTCGAGCCATCTCCAACCATTATTAATCTCACAGTGGGTTCTTCCTCATCAAATTTAACTCATGAAGAAGCAGACACTAGGATCATTCTCCATATTATATATAGTGTACAGAAAGAAGTGGCTCAAAGTGTCATAATACATGCTAAGGATACTGATGTGATAGTCATTTGCATTTACTATGCACCTACAATCCTGAAGGATCTTCAGGAATTATGGGTAGGGACTGGACTTGACAATTATTTGCCAATTCACGAAATTGCAAGGTTTCAGGATCAGCTCAGTGTTGATCACTATCTTTCATCCACAGTCTCGGTGGAAGGGATACTACCAGCTACCCATATTTTACCAGTAAGAAGGGCTCGTTGGTAGCCAACAAGAAGATCAACATTGATGCCCTTGAAGATTTTGCAGAAACTGATGATTCATCTCTCACTGATGAGATTATCATTCAGGCAAAGGAGGTGTTGATTGTTGTGTACACAAAGAATGTGGAAATGGCTGGGTCTAGTCGAGCAGACAGAGCCAATAAATTTCTCAACAACAAGACAACAATACTGATGCTGCTGCCACCTACTGAGGACGCCTTCGTGCAACACCTAAAAAGATCTGCTCTGGCTGCAATAATTAAGACAGCATACATAACAAGACTGGTAACCCTTGTCAATTTGTTTGACTAGCCTCATAATCTATTTCAATAATTTTAACTATAATGTTTTTTCAATCCATAACCTCAAAAGTATGTATTGTTACTGCCTTTTAATAGTTTTTCAAATTTCTTCAATTAAAAGCAATTTTGCTTACATAGTAAATCAACCAAATATAAAATGTGTGTAAAATTATATCAAAATACTTCTAATTATTTTCAAATCTAAATATTTTATATTTTAAGTTCTATGAAATACACAACTATGTTTTTTGAATTTATCTTTGTAACAACAAAACATTTCTTACGTGAAGGAGCTGACTAAAAGGGAATTATTGTCTACAATCTTATCAAACTCAGTTTTCATGAAGTCAAGAACACCATTATCACCAAAGGCTCCCCATTCAATGTCAACAATAACCTTGAAAAGAAACAAATTATGAATATTGAGAGAATGCAATTTAGAAGAAACTACACATCTACATGTACATGTTGATAAACAACATCGCACCGAGTTAAAAAACAAGCATACCAAAATCATAAAGGGTATTTGGTGACAACTTAGTATCAGTTATAAACACTGGTGAAATGAAAAATATTAACGTAATTTGTGAGTTTCAGATTCTAAGGTTTTAAGTTATACTATTGTAAACATACTTGTTCATAATCAAAGCTAAAACAAGTTAAAACTGAAGAGCTCAAATGCAAAACTACAAACACACACATACACACACACATACCCATAAAAGGTAGAGAAAAAGAACTGGTCAGTGTTGAACATCATGTACTAATTTACAAGATAATTTTGGTAACCAAAACAACAAACAGGTAATGAACATGGTACCTTTGAATAACCTATATTATTCATATAGATAACTACAGAGCAATTCAAAAATGGTTAAATATTTGTAAAATGAATTTTTCTTGTTTGATGATTATAAAACCTTACCATGAATTCTCACAAAATCTTCATGGTTCTCATTAGTTCTATACTTCTTATCACTAAAAGAATTTAAATTTGTGTCCCTTATTTGTATCAATAAAGCTTGTGTACTTTATACATTTGTATTTATGGCAAACCTATCAAG